ACATGTTAACATGTACATACTCTAATTTCATTAAAAAAACTGTGGAACGATGTTATTGTAAGACGTATATAGACACGCTAAGAGATGCTATTAGCCACCCAATAATATGAACMATTGCAAACATCTGGAACACACCATGTAAAAACACCAATTAAAAATCTTAATGTAAAATTTTCAAAAAAAAAAAGAAGAACATGAACGGATGGTAAACATATACATGGACCATATGTATAAATACATATATGAACATGAATAGGAACCGTATGTTTACATTACCAACTGAACAAGATACATGTATTCAATACCATATATTTTGACATTACCAAACGGACGACAAATGAACATGAACATGAACATGAACGTATGTACATGTATGACGTAAATAAACACATAGTTAACGATTTTTATACGTTAGTTGAAAATGCACCATGGTGATAGAAAAATCAAATAAAATAGTATGAGATGAACCTTAAAAAACAAAGGACATCGTAATGAACATTTTTCCGATGACATCGATATGTACATATATGATCATGAACAGGGMTCGTATGTATATGTASACGTACACGGGTAAATGAATGAACAAGAGCCATTTATAAAAACATGAATGTTGACATTACCATAAATGAACGAATGATGAGCATGTACGAATGATGAACATGATAATGAGCGTATGTATATGTATGACGTATATAAACACGTAGTTCACAATTTTTATACGTTTGTTGTRAATGCACAATATATGAACATAAATGAATTTTATAACTAGATGACCACTCATAGTTAGCGTTTTTTATACGTGAGATGAAAATTCACAATTGTGATACTAGAATATCATAGAAATATTGTGTGCTTTCGATCCATATGAACATATAAAAAGATAAAAATCTATTACCAAGACGTTCGGTTTGATTGATTTCATGACTTCCCGACCTCGAAATCGGATTGTATTCATAAACCATATGTAAATGTACATACATACATACATACATACATGTATGAACGAATTATGAACATGAACTAATGATCATCACAAACATGAACGTATGTATATGTATGACGTATATGAACACGTATGTATATCAAATAAGTAGTATGAGGTGAACATTAAAAAACACACAACATCGTATTGAACATTATTTCGATCAATATGAATCTAAAAAAAAATAAAAAAAAACTATTACCAATACATTCGGTTTGGTTGATTTCATGACTTCCCGCCCTTGAAATCGGTATGTCTTCATAAACCATTGTAATCTCCGCGYTGTTGTCGATTTCTTTTCCTTTCCGTGAACCAAATATGAACATAAATGAATTATAAAATTAGTTGACCACTCGTAATTAACGATTTTTTCACGTGAAATAAAAATGTACCATGGTGATAGAATATCATAGAAATAATATGAGATGAACAATAAAAAACACAAACACATCGACACCAGCATTCTTTCAATCAATATGAATAAAAAAATCTATTACCAAGACGTTCGGTTTGGTTGATTTCATGACTTCCCGAACCCGAAATCGGATTGTCTTCACAAACCTTTGTAATCTTCACGTTGTTATCAATTTCTTTTCCGTTACGTTTATCCATATTAGCTTGATCGACGCCGAATATAATTACTACCGTGTTTCTTATTCGATGTAAACCTCATACAAAACAGAACATGGAATATAAATACTAAAAAACAAAGATATTAATTAAATGAATGATGATTGTTTGGGATTTGATTTTTTCCTACAATATTGTTCATGTAATTTGAGTGATTAAAAAGAAATATATTAATTAAATAAATGATTATTTCTTGGGATTTGATTTTTTTGTAACCCCCCATTAATGGTTTGGGGGTTACATATGTGACCAAATGACTAAACTACCCTTGGAAGTAGAAATTGGACAATACATTAACCTACCATAATGAAGGAATTTGATTGGTTGAAATAGGCAAACAAAGTTAACACAAAATGAACGGTTAACAATTGATCTTGACCCTATGTATATATATATATATATGTATATATATGTATATATATATATGTATATATATGTATATATATCCTAAGAGGGAGTTTCATACGAGAAATATACGTATTTAAAAAAATAAGAGAATAATTTTGGGCCAATCATTTTTTGAATAATGTCTTAAATAAAACTTTCTAAAATATTTCCTAAAAGAACATATGTGTCATTTGTTGTACGCATATCACATATGAAAATTTATTTATTTCTATAAAAATTATTTACTACATTTAATTAAGGTATTTATTCATAATTTTTTTATAGTTTTGTGATTCAAGTATGATTTAATTTTTCATTTTTACAACATTCAAGATAAGTGTGATTTAGTTTTTCAATTAAAATATTTATTTTTATTGAAGTTGTTTATTTAAGAATCTTTTACAATTTTTGTCAAAATCATATATGATATCCGCAATTAATCAATCTTTTTTTTTCTCAAAAATGAATCGCTAATTTTCGTCAATATGTATATTGATTATAGTGGAAAAGAAATGCAAGTTATCTATAATATTACATGTGACATGTGTAAATTAAAAATTATGTTTTGAAGTATATATGATCTTATACATTTTAAACGTGTTTTATTATACATCATATGTGATTCTGTTTTCATTATTTTTTTTTAATATTTAATTTGAATAATTGTTTTTCAAGGTTTAAATCACATGTGATTAGGAAAATATTTTTTTTTTTAAATATTTGATTGTGAATCGCATGTGATTTTGATGAAAATTTTAATTTTTTAAAATATTGCAATAAAAATTGAATTACTTAAATGAAAATTAAATACGATTATTTTAAATGCATTAAATATAAAATACTTTATAAATAAAAAATTAAATCATATCAAAATCATAAATATGATAAATGTATAATCTTAAATAAATGCCTTAAATAATTTTTATACAACTAAATTACTTTTATGTCCTTATTTATTTATTTTAAAATTAATTATTTAAGGTATTATTTAATGAAATATATGATCCATATTCATTTTTTTATTTTCTTAAATACGTATCATTCTCATATGAACCCGACTTTATATCCTAATATGAGTAGAACAATTCATCAAGTTAATTACTAGATTAACATTAAGGTAAGTGTGTATATCTTCCTCCATTTGAAAATCAAACGTAAAGATAAACTAGGAGTCCTTATGAGATGAATCTTTAGGTTTCCATGGTCTATAAATAAACGAGAATAAGTCCATATTACCTACACGATATTGCATTCGATTCAACCCCATTCTAAAACAGACTGTATAAAGATTTAGAAGACTTCAATCTTCACATAACATACTTCTGCTTCAATTAATTTCATTGCTTAACTCAAATGCTGCTAGTTAATTCTTCTAAGAGGTTGTTTACCAAAACTTACCCGGGTAAGCGCTTACCAAATAACATTATCTTACTGGATGAATATGACAAGAATCAAGAATCTTACCCAGTAACATCGAAGGTAATGACCGAGAGTCATACCCGGTATGTAAAACCGATGACTCTTACCACGGTAAGTGCTTACCGGGTAAATTGTTGCATACGATACCGTTTTGGTGAACTAAAATCTTACTCAGTAAGTAAGTGATAGTGTTGAATTTACTGGTAAGCACTTACCCGGGTAAGCGTTTGGTAAACAGTCTCTAAATCTCTTATAGTAACATGCTAAATAAATTTGTGATTATGTATTTATGTTATTATGATTTAAGTTTGTCATCACATACTTAAAAGTAATCTCATATAATTATATAAGATGAGGGTCTTAAGAAAGACCAAAGGGTAGTTCACCACATACACTAAAAACACTAACTACCCCTCATTTTGGGTCAATTTTTGGAGTGTTATCTATATTACTAGTTCGA